TTCGCTCGATAACACGCACCCGACCATAACACGCATGTAGTTTTTAGAGGAGGAAAACAAGAAAAAAAATATTCTAAACGAAACAGAGGATGTATGATTTTTGTGGTTCATGCTGTGGCCACAGACATGTGATCTGACAGTGAGTTTCGAGTAGCCCAATGCAAAAATCCTGAGGATCCATGTGGATCCATGTTTGTAACCATGTTTTTGCACCACTGCAGCCCCAGGTAACAGTGGGTGCGTGATTTTTTTGGTGCAAACTGTAGCCATGGACATGCTATGTGATCTGATGGTGAATTTGGGGTGACCCAGTGCAAAAATCCTGAGGATCCATGTGGATCTGTGCTTTGTAACCACGTTTTAAGTGGGGAGGGAAGGAAAAGGACTCAAGGGACAAGGAGCACGCGTGGAGCAGGTGCTGCTTCTCTCCCTCCCCCCCCCCCTTAAGCGAGCTGAAAAACTTTGCTGGAGAGACAGAGAGCCTGCTTGCTTTAAAGGAGCCTACCGGTAGGCTCCTTTAAAGCAAGCAGGTTCTGCTTCTCTCCCTCCTTAGCGAGCTGAAAAACTTTGCTGGAGGGACAGAGAGCCTCCAGCTGGAGGGACAGAGAGCACTCGTGTAAGCGGCTCCTGTCCGGTAGGCTCCTTTAAAGCAAGCAGGTTCTGCTTCTCTCCCTCCTCCCCCCCCTCCCCGCCCTTAGCGAGCTGAAAAGCAAAGCGGGAGGAGACTGAAAATCTTTCCTGCTATTTCCAGCAAAGCGGGAGGAGAGAGATACAGAGAGCCAGCTTGCTTTAAAGGAGCCAACCGGACAGGAGCCGCTTACACTCGTGTAAGCGGCTCCTCTCCCGCTTTGCTCCTTTAAAGCAAGCAGGCTCTGCTTCTCTCCCTCCCCCCCCCCTTAGCAAGCTGAAAATCTTTCCTGCTATTTCCAGCAAAGCGGGAGAAGAGCCGCTGAGTGGGGAGGAGGGAGAGAAGCAGAACCTTCTTGCTTTAAAGGAGCCAACCGGACAGGAGCCGCTTACACTTGTGTAAGCGGCTCCTCTCCCCTCTCCCCTTTCGCTTTGCTCCTTTAAAGAAGCAGGCACTCTGTCCCTCTCTCCTCCCCATTCAGCGGCTCTTCTCCCGCTGGAAACCACGGAGGAGGAGGGAAGCATTCGCTCCATAACACGCACAGACATTTCCCCTTACTTTCTAGGAGGAAAAAAACGCGTGTTATGGAGCGAAAAATACGGGTAGTTGTGCCACTTCTGGGCTGGTGTACAGGGGGGAGCCCATTCCCAATAAATGAAGGGACCTCCATCCCACCCTGGAATGTCCCACATCAGTGGCATCTTTAGGTCCATAGAGATATCTGTAGGCATTCTCCTCTGCTGCCAGAGGTGCCTCTGCTCAGTCTTAACCTCCTGCAGCCAGCAGATTGGTGGGGTTAGGACTGTTGTAACCTGCCATTTATATTCTGCCAAGCGTTTGCTGCATTTTAATTCTTACCTGCATGTGAAGTCATTTTATTGGCTTGCTTTGATGTTTTATGGGTTTTAATTGTAACACTATTCTAATATTGTAAACTGCCTGGGGACCCTTTTTAAGTCTGACTGACACTATACAAATGCTTTTTAGAATTATGATGCAATACCCAATGAAGTATGATGAAGACAAATAGTAGATTTCACGTTTTGATTATTCCACAATGCAAATCTAGAGCTAGGTTTCTCCTACTTAAATTTGAGTGCTCTTGTGTCTCATGCTGCAGTCTAGTCAACTACATACCTTCATCTTGGGTAGCTAAGGGTCTTGGGCCATTGGGCCAACCCTGCCAGCTGTCTATGCCACTGGTTTTCAACCTTAGGTCCTCCTCAGATATTGCTGAACTACAACTCCCATCGTCCCTGGAGTCCCAACAACCTGTGGGAACTCCAAGGCTGAAGATCACTGCTTCACACAGATTTTCATTTGAACATGTGGAGGTTGGGAGTGAGGATAGCGCAAGCAACCCCATTCCCCTACCAATTTTGAAACATTGTCTTAGGAGGGCTGAACTGCAGCTAATTTCAATGGCAAATAAGCTGTGAGAGTTTGTACAAATGAAGCTGGTCCACTCCAAAAGGGACCGACAGGCTGTTGAGGAGGAGTATGCAGGAGGCCCCCAAATGCAATCAGATACTCCCACACTAATGCCCTTAGAAGTAGAACTCTTGAGGCACTGAAGACCTCCCATTGTCTTTTAGGCACCACTATGCTACCAAGGAAATCCCACAGAAAGGTAGAAATCTTGCTACAGCAATCTCATGTAGAGCTGAAGGCAGAACCACTCTTGATGTCCCTGCAAATATATAGCGTGGCACTCATCTTGACTAAAGTTAACCTAACTTTTTGTTATCTTGTTTACTTTACCCAGAAACAAATTTCCCAGGAACAAATCCACTATTGCCTTCATTTTATTTCTTCTGTGGCCTGTGTAAAAAGACTAACTTGTTCTTCTTCTGTGTCAATATGCTATGCTGTTTCAGTGGAAATGTCACCGTTCCCCCACAGATCAACACATTGCTATTTTCTGTGCTCAAACTCAGCTCCCTTGCCCCAAACACTATATTCTGTTATTTCACACAGACTACTTCAAAGGGCCTCAAGTGCACCCCCTTTACCAAAGTCTGTTGCGTAACCAGGAAAACTTTGTTCTTGCAAGCCTTTGGAGGAAATTAGTAAATGTGGTTTAACGTTTTGGGGGTTATCTGCACTGCTGCATTTTACTAATGATCAGGCTGAAGTAGCCTTACGGTTCTTTTCTGTTAAATAGGATCTGTTTTATGTTGGAAATTGTCATAAGTTCACTAGGTATGGTGGAAGGGCAGTCTAAAAATCTTGCAGAAAATATAAATTTATTATTTTGTCATTGACAGATAAAATGACCTGCTCAAACTTCAGGTAGCTATGGCTAGGGCACCTTTGCAAGTGTGTCTTGCTTCATGATGACCTGCCCCTGTGTGCCAGGGAGCCCGAACCCCCTAGTTTACTGAAGAATTGAGGGCCATAAAGCCATTAGGGAAGCAGCTAGCACTGAAGTGTTAAAATACTTGCATCGTGCCACAGTGGGCATGTCACTGCAGCAATCTACAGGCCTATAAGGGTAACCACCATTGCCACCCTACTGTTTTGATGCCTGACTGCTGCTGCAGGCTCTATTGCTATCTCCTGGGTTGACTGTGTTCCTTGAACCTGCTACCTAAACTTGGCTCAGTTTGATCTCCTGACCCTTAGACCTGTTGCATCTCAGCCAATGGCCTGCCCCTCTGATGAATGACACCCAGCTGTGCCAAATCTACTCCAGCCACACTCTCACAAATGCTGTTCACACTTGTAAGGCTGTCATCTATTTTACTTGAATAGATGCAACACAGGCAAAATTCACCAGGAGTGTTTTCCAGCAATCCATCACAATCTAGAATAAGTTGCACCTGTTGGTTTCTGCATGTTATGCAGCAAAGAGTTTCATGCAGGGGGAAATATGGCAGCCCTATTTGTCCTGGTGTCTGTGGCAGAATTCACATGTACTTGCTGTGGCAAGAGTCACTTCTTCTTGGTGCAATCCATACAGTGTCCCATCCTTGATACACACTTCCTTCATACACAAATTTGCGGAACTGTGTAAGATCACATCTGGGAAGTGCCGTGAACGGGCTCCGAGACAACTGTTCCACTATAACTCCACTCAGTTAAGCAATCAAATAGTAGCAGTACCTGGAAAAGGCACACATCTCCTGAATTAAGATTCTGAGGTGTACTTATTACATGTGTGAGAGTCTCTAGCCTCAGGCAGGAGTGATGTGCAAGAAAGCTTATCTTCACCAGAAAAGGTCACTCCACCTTAGGAAAGGAATTCTCTTATCCTGCAATAAATCTACAGACAGGTCAAATGAAATACAGTAGTAGCAAGAACCATAAATAACCAATCTTCACTATTGTAGGCATCTACTGGTAATTGTTTTTGCATGGCAGATTTCTTTAAATTGATTTAATTTGTCAATCAATTAAACCTACAGCCCTAGTTTTTCTTTTAAAAGGGGGAATACTGAACAGTTGTCCTTGGGGTGGGATAATACTGTAAAGAAACTGTAAAATTACTTTCCATGTGTAAAGAGCTGCACAAGTAATGGAGAACAATTATCCAATTGGTAGTTGCTCTTTATTATTCTGATGAATTTAAAAATACAGCACAATGCAGTTTTGTGGGACATCATACAACTTAACTTTGATTTCTATTTTTATTTTATTGTAAACATTTTAGGGTTGTTATTTTATTTCATTTTTTCAGGCAGGACCCTTAGGAGTTTTAACAACAGCTGGCCAAGCAGCAATTCTGCTTGTGAAGATGCTGATGTGATGAAGGAAAAGCTACCATACTTCTCTCAAGGGGTCTGCCAAGCGGGGGGGGGGGGGGGGGAGAGCTGCCTACAGCACTGCTGTTAGCTTTGGGTGCAATAATCATTCAGTTTTAAATATAAATAGCATTGCTAACTTTTACTTTTAGCAAACAATTAATGGTCCAACGATCGACCACTATGGGCAAAGGAGCGAATTCTGTTGCATCCAAATCCAGGTAAAAATATACACAGAATAGCAAACATTTAGCAAAAGTTTGAAAACAGACGACCAGTTATAAATCTAACCCACTATTTCCTTGCGCAGCAATTTAAATTCGCAGTGTAGGCATGGCTCAGAAAATGCGACAGGACCCAAACGCAGACATAACCCCTCTTTCCTACTTGGTTTGAAGCATATCTGTCTAATAATAATAATAATAATAATAATAATAATAATAATAATAATAATGGAAGAGTTGACTGGAAATTCTCTCTCCACACTCAAGCAAGCAAACCAACTCGCAACCCAAATTTATTAGGAAGCGCACAAAGCTCAATCCTTGCATATTGTGAGGTGCTCTCTCCCCCCCCCCCCCTTCTCGTCGTCGGTCTGGGAGGCAGCCGGCAGCACCCACCACCCCGCTGCCCGGTCTCCCGGTCCCGGCGGCCTCTCGGGCCCCGGACTTCCCTGCAGCCTCCGCGGCTCAGCGGAAGCGGCTTTGCCCCGAGTCAGGTGTCGTCGTCGTCGGCAAGGCGAGCCCGCTGCCGGGTTAGAGAAGACGCGGGAGGCGGAGACTAGCAGGCAGGCAGGGGAGGGAGAAGATGGCGGAGGCAGAGTGAGTAGAGAGCTCGGCGTGCCTGCGGCGGGGCGGGCGGAGAGGGAGCGGGACTCGGCCGCGACGGGGCTGCAGCCGGCGAGCGGGGAGGGCGCTTCGGAGGGGATGCAGCAGCAGCAGCAGCAGAGGGGGCGGGGGGGGGGCTACCATATATCTATCTGTCTATGTGTATCTATACCTAACAGGCGGCTGTAGAGCCTTCCCCGCGCCCCTCCTGGTTTATGGTGACGGAGCTGAGTGGCTCCTGACGCCTGCCAGTCAGAGGGAGACAGACAGACGGACAGACGGTCAGCCTTAGGGGTGATTCTCATGCCACCCCCCGTCTAGACAGCGCTACTTTCGCAAAAGGGTGCTTGCTGCTCCTTGCCCTCCTGTCAAGCCGGAGAGAACGACACATGTGTTCGTAGAGAGAGTTGTAGGGTTGGGAGGGGGGACCCCCAAGGGTCATCTAGTCCAACCCCCTGCAAGCAGCTGAATCGCCAGGTCGAGAGTCAAGACAAGGCGCAGGGAACCTGTCCTCTTTCCAGACATACATACATACACATACACACACACACACACACACCCAACAGCCCAAATTGGCTGGTTCAAAGACCATCCGGTTCAGGAAGTAGCTTGTCTACATCGACGCCAGGAATGAAGGTTTCTTCTTGCCTGCTGTTTGTATTTATATCCCACCGTTGCGCATAAAAGGAAGCACAAGGCGAAATTATGTCGTTTTGCCAGTCTTCCCCTGCCTGCCCAAATTTCATCCCGTCCCCACCCAGTGAAGTCCATGCCTGAGAGGAGGTTTGAACCTGGTCCTAGCTCAGTGCTCCCAGCTAACCACAACACAATGTCCACCAGACTGCATCCTGCAGTAGATGTCATCCCTTTAGGACAAGGCACTTCATCAGGTCACTGACTACGTCACAGAAGGCATAAAGGAGTGGATGTAGTGTGGGTTTTAGTATTCAGGCGCTTTCTTTGTTTTCTGGTTTTTGAAAAGGTATCTTCACCCGCCGCCCAAACACACACACTTATTTTGGTGTCATTTCTTCAAGGATTTTGAAGAGGTATAATTATGTACAAGGTTTATATCAAGCTCTTAGGGACGCGGGTGGCGCTGTGGGTAAAACCTCAGCGCCTAGGACTTGCCGATCACATGGTCGGCGGTTCGAATCCCCGCGGCGGGGTGCGCTCCCATCGTTCGGTCCCAGTGCCTGCCAACCTAGCAGTTCGAAAGCACCTCCGGGTGCAAGTAGATAAGTAGGGACCGCTTACCAGCGGGAAGGTAAACGGCGTTCCGTGTGCTGCGCTGGCTCGCCAGATGCAGCTTGTCACGCTGGCCACGTGATCCGGAAGTGTCTGCGGACAGCGCTGGCTCCCGGCCTATAGAGTGAGATGAGCGCACAACCCCAGAGTCTGTCAAGACTGGCCCGTACGGGCAGGGGTACCTTTACCTTACCTTTATATCAAGCTCTTTATCAATTCCATCTAAGAATAAAGTGAGGTGGGGGAGAGTTTGTTCGTTTTTTTTATTAACTCAAGGGATTTAAAAGCAATGTCAATTTGCATCACCAGCGGCAGTAGAAATATCTTCAAGTCCTTCCTGCATGTATGTAGATTGTTCCTGTCTCTGGGTTGGCCTGCAGTGTTAGGCAATTTCTATTTGTCCATCACTATGGCTCTTGCGTTCCAACCATGCCTTACTAGGTGACTAGAGATGGAACCGGACGCGGGTGGCGCTGTGGGTAAAAGCCTCAGCGTCTAGGGCTTGCCGATCGAAAGGTCGCGGTTCGAATCCCCGCAGCGGGGTGCGCTCCCGTTGTTCGGTCCCAGCGCCTGCCAACCTAAACAGCGTTTCCGTGTGCGGCTCTGGCTCGCCAGAGCAGCGATGTCACGCTGGCCACGTGACCCGGAAGTGTCTCCGGACAGTGCTGGCCCCCAGCCTCTTGAGTGAGATGGGTGCACAACCCTAGAGTCTGTCAAGACTGGCCCGTACGGGCAGGGGTACCTTTACCTTATAGATGGAACCACGTGAGGTAAGCTACCACATGGCTATGTGTCCTCTCTGGAACTCACCGAACTGAGTTGTACCATCACCAACTTTCTTGAGAGATTGTAGAAGCATGGTAACGGCAATTTCATTGAAGTGGTTACCTACAAATGGCTGTCCATACAGGTCAATCTGTACATTTGTTTTGAATCTGCTATTGTGTGGTCAATGGCTGTATAAATGGGATCCACTAAATCTGCTTGCAGTGCCCCTGTAATGTACACTGAGAACAAGATTGTCACTAGGCTCCTTCCCAAAGGCCATAGCAAACCTCACCAGGAAGAGAAAACACCTTTCATGGTGCTTCCTGGCATGGCAACCACAAATAATGGTTGAAATAACAAGCCAAACAAAAATAAGCGGACTCATATTTGTGAGTCTAGTTATTGTGGTACTGTACAAAGGAGGTGTGTGTGTTGTTCATATAGAATGCAATTTAAAATCATTTCATTTAAAATCAGTAGGAAATCTGCTATATAGGTATCTTGTTGTTTAGGATATTTGCTCCCCATCGTTTCAGAAAAGGTTTGAATAATTTGTAAACATGTACTATAGTATTCTGCATTCCAGACTGAGTATTTCTTTTGAAAATGCCTTCGTTTTTCAAGGCCACTGATGGTGCAGTACCTTCACAAGGGAGCTTTGCAAGAGTTGCTTCAATACCTTACCTTGCTTTATGTGCCACTCAACCATACATTTGTGTGATACTGGTGCATTGCTCAAGAAGAGTGAATATAGTTAAGTATTGTAATAGTTAATAGTTGAGTTGCCTTTAGTCTCATTTTTGAGAAATTGATTTATAAATTAAAGGTATCTTGGGGTGCAGCTACAATTCAGTTTCTGTGAATTCCAGTGTGAACTGGCCTGATCTGTATTTCCTTGCAGATTGTGGACTAATTATCCTTCAGAGTTTGTATTTCTCCAGATTTTGTGATGTAGTTCTTGGCTCAACAACAACAAACCAAATGATTTATTTTAGGATAAAACATGTTTAGAAATGCACACAGTGAGATAAAATATGTTAAATTAATACAAATACGTCTGGCACATTGTTTAAAAGCAAGTAGCATTTTAAAGCAGGAATGAGTTTGTGAATGAACATGTGCAAAATTAACCCAGGCAGGAAATAGACAAATTTGTCCTTCCCTGGTCCATAGAAACCTTCCATATGCATGCGGAGAGGATCTCTGCAAGTGCACCCAAGCCCTCTTTTCCCTCCCTGCTCTGCACCTTTTACTAGTTGCACTTTCATGGTGCCATATGTGCTGCTGCTTAGCCAGCCATGCTCTGTGATGAGAGCTGTTCCTCTGCATCACATTCCATTATCTCATGGCCTGCTTTTATATAGGGCCCTGGCATGTAGGCTACTCACACAAAATAGAAGAATACTTCTTGCTGGCATTCTGGAGAGGACCAGATCAGAAGATAACTCTTATGTGAGGGTGATTAAACCTAGCACAGTGTCAGGAAGCCAAGTTGAGAGTTGGTATGGAGGTGGGCATCACAGAAAACAGGACCCCACATGCAGCCACAAAAGGTCTTGTCTGGGCAATAGTCTCCACACAGAAATTGCTTGAACTGTTGTAAATACTTTATTGTGTCCCCTATCCCCTGTCAAATGTAAGACCGTTCCATTTTATATGTAAAAGAACTGAAAAATGACTGACGGCCTTGTCATGTCTGCTTTAGGGGATTTACAAAAAATTGTTGGTGGGGAATGAACACTTGGCTTAGCTTTCAGTTGAGGAGGAGCAGGCAAAATACATTTTTATTTATATAGGCCTCTGGTCTGCAAGCTGCCTTGCAAACATATTTGAATTGGTTTTAACTGATTTGGTGTTTTAAATTTTTGTTTTTTGGACTGATGTTGTAGCTGTCCTTGGATCTTTTAAAAAAACTTTGTTTTTATAGCTGTTTTGTGGTATTTTTCTACCTATATTGGGGACAGTGTCATCAGACCAAGGCATTGCCCACTGATTTATGTCATTGACACATGGTCTCAGAACTAGTTGCAGGTAGGTAGCTGTGTTGGTCTGCCGTAGTCGAAACAAAATAAAAAAATTCCTTCCAGTAGCACCTTAGAGACCAACTAAGTTTGTTATTGGTATGAGCTTTCATGTGCATGCACACTTCTTCAGATACGAAGAAGTGTACATGTACATGAAAGCTCATACCAATAACAAACGTAGTTGGTCTCTAAGGTGCTACTGGAAAGATTTTTTTAATTCGGTCTCAGAACTGTGCTTGATGTCTTGACTACAAACCCAGAACGAGGTTCTGGACGCAGGTTTCAAACATTAGAGGACCTTCCAAAACCCAATAGTAGAGTCTGAAAACTCTATTTCCTGCTTTGTAGCAAAACACTGTAATGTACCTGCGGTTGCCTAGATCAGTAGGCAACTTGACTGTTGAACTGTGAAGAGAACTGCAAATGATAGGGAACTACTGTAGGAAGTCTGCACAGAGATGGCAATTAACCAAAAGTGAGACCTGATGGTCACCAGAGCAAAGAATGTTATGACAAGGTCATTCTGGACCAAAGGAAAGCTTAGGCTGCATAAATTGCAGAGTTGGGAGTGGGGAAATCAGCCTTCAAAACAAAACAAAAACAACCACCCATATGATCACATAACTAAGGCATACCTCTATGCCTTCTACATCAAGTACTGTACTCAAGAAAATTCCACACTCCTCACCAGCTCTCCCTACACACCCTCTGGATCAGACTGGCAGAATTCCTTTTTCAGACACCTCTTTTTCCAACCTGTCAATCAAATATCTTGTTCTACATGGATCCGGTCTCACATTCGTGTATAACAAGTATTTTGACTGACAGCTTAGTCACCTGGAACGTTAAAGGGAGGGGAAAACCCTCCCCCAGAAGCGTTGTTTTGCACATTCTGAAGTTGCCAATCGTTTGCATCTTTTGATAGCGCTTATTCATAAGCAAGTGGAGGAGATGTAGCAGCAAGAGACTGCGTGTTTCTTCTACGCCACCTCTTATTCAGCAGATTCTCGGAGCACACAGAACTGCCTGCAGGTGTGGAGTACTGCTGCAGGCCTGCACTTCTGCACCCAACAAATTGCCAACTGAGCATAGTAAAAAATAAAAAATAAGGAAGTTGCAATCACTTTTCAACCCACTTCCACAAAGGTAGTCTAGCAAGGTTCTGTACAGCTGATATGGAATGCTTTGGGATCCCTTTGCACCAGATACGCAGGTGGGAAGCAATAGGTGGTGGTGGATCTTTGCCGACATCTAGTGTGCAGGTTCTGAAAGAATGCATCAATTGTCAACACAGCACCCATGCTTTCAGCGGTCCAGCTTTTGGTAGTAATACTTTGGATTTTGAAGAGTTTGTGGTGAGTTGGATGAAAAGCCTTGAGGGAAGGCAGATGGCTAAGACATTGGGAGCAAAATGTAGAAAAGGGCACAAGAAGAAATGCTTTTTGAAGGCTTAGGTTGTGAGTTCAGAGTAAGAGTTGATTGTGTGGCTTGGCTGAAGCTTCTGTGGGTGACTTCTGCTTTTCTGAGCAAAGCAAACCATTGAATGGAGTTAAACTTGGAAACTCTGCAAAAACTTGAGAGGTTTGCCTGTACATGTAGCACACCTCACCATGGAGCTAAAGACACCACCAACACAGCAAATTCTGTTTTCTGAATGATGCTATCTAAACAAGGATAACTTAAACATTGAGTCATCCCCTACGTAACCAACTGATCACTGTGCCCTTCCATGGAGGGCATCCTGCAGGTACCACCCTATTAAAGAGGTTTCAGAATCGGGCCAGAATGTTCCCCTTTGGAACATATCTATGTCTGCTACATATCAGAGAGGCAACTCCCCTATTGTCATTCAGTGAGTGCTAAAGACATTCCTGTTTCAGCAAGCCTTCAAAATAGAGATCTTTACCTCTGTATCAGATTTAAAACTTTCACGTGCTGCTGTTGTTTTAAAATATATGTGTTCATTTGTTTTTTATCTATGTAGCTATTTTATATAAGTTTTTATTATACTATTATACTTTGGGATGCCTCGTGGGAAGCGACTCATAGATGAAATAAGCAATAATAACATAATAATTCTGAGCACCAAAGGGTTGGGTTGACTGTTTCGTTCCCTGTCCTTCTTGTCAGCACCTAGCTGGCTCCTGTCAGAAATAGGATGTTAGAATTGATATCTCTTTAGTCTGATCCGGGAAGACAGCTCTCCTAGTCCTATGAAGGGCTTCAGGTATACATGCACACTCGCTGAAAGGCTCCCCTTTTCTCTTCTACCACATAGAGCACCAGCTTTGGAGTTACGCAAGTTTGCCCAGCCAGGTTTCTGATTTCAAAGCGTGCCTTAGTCATTTTATCTGCATGTTCTGTTCTTCTGGCGCGGGGCTAAGTGTGTGAAGAGCTGTTGCACAAGCACCCCTTGAACTCACCTGACCGTAGCACTGTGTGTCTTAATAAAACCTGTTTCAGAAATTGAGGACACCTTTCAAAGTCCCTTTACTGAATGATGTTTTTGTGGGGAGAGGAGAGGCACACAGCAACACCAGAAATGGCTCAGTTGGTAGAGCCTGAGATTCCTAATCTCAGGGTAAGGGGCTTGAGCCCCACATTGGGCGAAAGATTCCTTCATTGCAGGGGTTGGACTAGATGGCCCTCGAGGTCCCCTTCTAACTCTACAATTCTATGAAAAGCACCTCTTCTAGAAATCATAGAACCATGGAATTTCAGAGTTGGAATGGACCCTGACGATCACCTAGTCCAACCCCAGCAATGCAATAATATGCAGCTGTCCTATACGGGGATCAAACCTGCAACCATGTAATTACAGTGGTACCTCGGGTTACATACGCTTCAGGTTACATACGCTTCAGGTTACAGACTCCGCTAACCCTGAAATAGTGCTTCAGGTTAAAAACTTTGCTTCAGGATGAGAACTGAAATCGTGCTCCGGCGGCGCGGCAGCAGCGGGAGGCCCCATTAACTAAAGTGGTGCTTCAGGTTAAGAACAGTTTCAGGTTAAGAACGGACCTCCGGAACAAATTAAGTACTTAACCTGAGGAACCACTGTATCAGCACCATGCTTTAACCAGCTGAACTATTCAGGTCTGAATCTTGTAGTAAAGTACACCAGGCCCTGCCTACCAATACTTTCTTCCTATCTCCGGTACTACCTAATAATGCTTGGGTGTGTTTCCATTCTTTTGTTTGCATATTGATCTAACCAAGTCAGTTACTGAAGTTGTCATCATTTGATCGTCAGGCACACAAGGATAATTCCATTGACTGCTAAGGAGCCATACTGCTGCGTCTTCTTTCCCCATCAAAGCGACACCCTGGCCATTATACTATCTGTGCAGCTACTCTGATTCTGTTCCTGATAAGTTCAACTTAAAGCTAGGTTGTGGAGTTTATTATGCAATCGCTAATAACTTACTATCACAGCAATTTGTGGAAGCACCTCTTTGGGAGGTTGCCACATCGACCTGGTATGTTTATGTTTGTGGTAACATGATGTGTGCCAGGCTTTGGCTAAAAGGAAAACAAAAGAAAAGAAATCAGGCTATGCTACTTCGGTGATTCACCATTACCCCATGAATGTTTGGCTGCCTATGATATTCCATGTTTAGTTCTCAGCTTTTGGGGAGACGGGCCTTGAATCTTTCAGCAATAGAGACCAAAAGTCCTAGTATCAGTTTTGTCAAGATTAAATAATTCCTGAAGCAGTGATGATGAACCAGAAAGTTTAGTAAAAATCATTTTATTTCCATTTTGTTTTCTGCAACTTTCTATTCAGATGGTGGTTATGGGTGTTACTCAACTAAGTCTTACATAGAGTAGACCCATTGAAATAAATGAGCATGGGTAAGTTAGGTCCATGGGTGTCAATAGGTCTACTCTGAATAAAACCTGGATGCATACCATCCCAGCTTTTATTCACAAATGAGGAGTAGAATTTTATTGTACTAAAATAAATGAAAGCTGGGAATTCTTGCCAACTACGCTGAATATCTGGGTGTTAATTTTTTCATATAGGAAAGCATCTCCTTATGTGTGTTTTAAGGTGATGCTACATTTATCTTTATATCAGCAACTTTTTTTTTTTTAGCAGAACCTATATTTTCAGTTGAGCAGTGGGCACCTGTTGACTTATTCCCATGTGAGTGGCCACATTGCCAAAGTGCTCTTTTAACCCAGTCCTCCCCACTGTGAATAGTGACAAAAAACGCCTTTCTTGCTCACACACATTAGTGTGCATTCATTACAGAACCTGATGCCTCTGTATTTGAGTGGGCAGCTGAGACACGCACCAAGAGCGACTCTGCTTGTTTTCTGCTCAGAAGCATCTTTGGAATGGGTTGAATCCACCAGCCACTTATTCCCTGTACAGTAGCTCTCCAAAGGCGTACAAGGATTGAAAGCTGCAGAATTTGGCTAGTAGAAGTCCTCGTGAGTTAATGCCATGCTTCCGCAGCCTTCTTCAAAGATTATTTATGTTTGCGTTCCATAATTATATTGTTTGTTTGTTTTGTTTTGCACAGGATTTGGAGTACACCCTGAATTAAGAAAAATAGTATTGCTTCAAGCTTCTTGGTCATCCTCCCTTCTCTCCCAACATATGCGTTGCATTTTGCTGTAAGTACAGGCGGCCATGGCAGATGACGATGATACGCAGCCATCCATCCCAAAGAAGTGCGGTCCGTACATTTCCTCGGTGACCAGCCACAGCCTGAACTTGATGATCCGCGGGATAGTCCTGTTTTTAATTGGTGTCTTTCTTGCTCTAGTATTAAACTTGCTACAAATTCAGAGAAACGTCACCTTGTTCCCACCAGATGTGATCACCAGCGTCTTCTCTTCGGCTTGGTGGGTACCGCTTTGCTGTGGAACAGCATCAGGTATGTCGGAACAAATGCGGCTGGAGAGAAACCTTATTAGGGGAAACATCATGGGCTTGATTTAGTCCGCAGAAGCACCATTTGGCATTTCCTCCTCCTTTCCTCCAAGACACCTGTGGACATGAACAGGGCAAAGGTCGTTAAGAGGAACATGAGGTCTAGGTGCACCTTTTGTATCTATGGACTTCCCTGTCTCCTCTGCTCAGCCATGGAGAATGAGGTGGACAGAGAGTCACGGGTGTGGGAAGTGCATCATGTAGCCCTGACTTTCCACATAGGAACCTAATGTGCTGTGAACTCATGCATGCACATCGGAGGATATGCAGATGCTGGATTCATACAACTGTGCTACCCAGTTACAGCTCCCCCTCTTGCTGCTAGTAGGGATTAGCTTGCTGGGATGTCTTAGATTCTGGCAGAGGAAAGAGTGCCAGGCATTCTCCATTCGTCATTGCTTCTCATGGGCCAATCTGGGCATGGCATCCCAGTGCCAGATTTACGTGTAAGCTAAACAAGCTATAGCTTAGGACCCCACTCTCTTGGGCCCCCCAAAGAAATTTAAAGGGGGGAAACTGGATGTACGTTTCCAAAATATAAGATTAAAAACAAATAAAATAAAACCTACATACAGCAACAGTGTTTTGTGTTGTGTAGGATCCTATGATGCAAGTAATGGGGCCCTGCCTGCTAGCCTGCTCCCTCAAATATCACTGGTTTGCTCATTTCTATATACAGGGTGCCTACATTCTGCATGGACTGGTTGCATGGCAACATGCGCAAATGGCTTTAGATACCATTAGGTCCATTAATTACCATATAGCATATATTCAACACAAAAAACAGCGACAATTTGTTGTTGACAAAGGGCAGCTGGACATATAAAGGGTCCCATTACCTTCAGTAGCTGAAGGCCTCATCAAACCTAAATCTGGCCCTAGGCAGAGAGGGAGGCCTAGCTAATCTGGACCAGGGCTGGTGGGAGAGGACGCCAACACTTTGCTTCCGCTACAGTCCCAGTCCGGATTGCACCTCCCCTCCCCTGGCTGCAGTTTAGAAAAGAAAAAGCAGTCATGGGCAGACAGTTTGCATTCAGTGATCCAACTTCATTTTTTTATATAAAAAAAATCTGATTTCCATTTCCATTTGGTGGTCCAAATTTATTTATTTTGAAAATCTGATTTATAGTAGAAATGTTCTTAAATTTTGCAAGGCAATAATCGTCTTAAGTAAGTAGCATGGTCTGCTGAATTCTTTTGTAAGCCAGAAGCAAACCAGTGATATTTGAGGGAGCAGGCTAGCAGGCGGGGCCCATTACTTACATCATAAGAGCCTACACAACACAAAACACTGTTGCTGGTGGGGGCTGATGAGAGTTATAGCCCAAAACATCTGGAGAACCCCAGGTTGGGTAAGGCTGCTGTAGTACAATGGCATCTAGATTTCTGTGGCAGGGTAGGGTACATATCTCTCCAGTCTCCCTACCACTGATTCAGCCAATACTTTAATGAATTCAGTTGCTGCATAAGATCTTTTTATCAGTGGAAACCTCTTGGCAGTGGAGTCAGGGGGCAGCACTAGGGGAAGGTTCTATTGTAAGTAAACCTTCCATAATATGCCAATATTTTCCTGAGGTGCTGCTTGTCAGATTCTGATACAGGTCAATAAACCGATCTATTGTCTAGGAAACAGGTTTTTGTTGTTGCTGCTGAAGATAATCTTCAAGGCTACGTATCTTGCATTATCTAATTACTTTCCTTTTGTACCTTTTCATGGAATTAATACACCACAGATTTCACAGAGGATTCAGATTTGAAAGGAATTGTCTGTGTAAATTGTCTGAATGTGTTGGTTTTCTTTTCTCGGGGGCGGGTGTGTGTCTGTGCGCGCTTGGAATATTTTGGTCACAGATTCGTTTTATCTCTAAACTGCCTGCCTGTCATCGCTCCTTTTTATTTATTTATTTTTTGCCCATTTGAAATCCTTGAGTATTTTACTGCACCATTTGCTTCATTTTTATTTTACACCTAGATTGGCAATTCTAGACACAAGCATTTGTTTGGCTTGATTGTCTTTTGCCATCCTTCTCCACCCTGGTCCCTCTGGAGGTTTAGAGTACAGCTCCCAGCATGCCGCACTGTTGTTGTTGTTGTTGTTGTTTGCTTTCATTAGCCACTTTCCCCACAAAGGTGACTCGAAGCAACTTGCAAAAATGGTACAAACATTAAAACCGGATACAGTGGTACCTCGGGTCACAAACACTTCAGGTTACAAACACTTTGGGTTACAAACTCCACTAACCCAGAAGTAGTTACCTCAGGTTACGAACTTTGCCCCAGGATAAGAACGGAAATCGTGCGCTGGCAGCAGTGGGAGGCCCCATTAGCGAAAGCGCACCTCAGGTTAAGAATGGTTTCAGGTTAAGAACGGACTTCCGGAACGAATTAAGTTCGTAACCCAAGGTACCACTGTATTAGGAAACCCAAACAGAATGAGAACCTAAAAACACATCCATATATAGGTATCAAACACCCCACCCCACTAAAAGAGGCCACAGATAGCTGATACTCTCCAAATTAAGGGGCTAAAGCCTGGGTTCAAAGAGATGTTTTTGTCTGGTGCCTGAAAATACATAGCGGTGGTGCCAGGCATGCCTTCTGGGGGAGAGTGTTTCACAAGTAGGATGCCGTCAGTCAAAAGGCTTGCTTTCATGTTTCCACCCTCTGCACCTCTCTCAGTGGGTGCACATGGAGAAGGGCCTCAGGTGATGAACACAGTCTTGACTTGCTTCATGTGGGGACAGGTGGTCCTTGAGAGTGAGCTGCATGAGGCTTCATAGGTCAAAACCAGCACATTGGTTTCCCACATTGCCTGGGGCTAATGGAAGTTCTAGTCCAAAGCATCTGGAGGGCATTCAACAAGGCTGAAGGCAAGGGCAGTGGCAGAAATTTTTTTGCTAGCGTGTTTACATCTGCGGGAAGTTATAAAAAAATACATCGTTTCGTAACTAGTAATGTAATGAATGGTTACCAGTATGATATCAGCCAATTTAGGGAGCGCCAGCGAATGGCAAATTTGGCAGAAGTCATAATTGTTCCTTTCGCCTTTTGTTGTTGTCATTTACAGCTGTGATTGGGTTATTGTACCCCTGCATGGATCGACACCTGGGAGAGCCACACAAATTTAAGAGGGAATGGTCCAGTGTGATGCGGTGTGTAGCAGTCTTTGTTGGTATAAATCATGCCAGTGCTGTATCCTTCTCTATGGTAATGAAGTTGGCAGCCGCATCCAAACTTTTTTCTAGGAGGTCAAGAGCTAAACGACAGCTGCCCCGCTCACTTCACCGGGATTGCACGCCTGGTGCACTCCCCGACGTGGCAGCGAATTTATTAGTTGCCCTTCCATTGTTAACTCAGGGTGATTTACAACAGTTTCAAGCTACATGTTTAAAATAACTTAATAAACACAATAAAAAATCCAGTGTGGCTGAAGAAAGCTTGGCCATAAAACAGCAGCGAGAAGCAATAAAGTATTAAGAAATAACATTCTCGTGGCACAAGAGTTCACACTAATGACAGGGTGCATGTAAACTTTTAGCAAGGTGGCTATCCCAAGGAAGGCACTTTTGCAAGCCAGCACGCACTCTTGAGTAATTGCATACCTACTAAACAAGCATTTGAAACATCATGCCTTTGGCCTAGTCCTAAGAGTGCTGCAAATGGTCAGCTAGGGATGTTCCAGTTAGATATGATTTTCGGAAAGCTGTTCGGTGTCAGGAAAATCAGAGTTGTGTGATGCTTACTGGCAATCCCTTTGAGGCAAAACCCCAAAACAATTAGTCAGTGTTCCGCTGATCTTCCGAAACTGTTCCTTAACGACGCTCGCAGAAAGTGGATTTTGCCAACAACATCCAGTTGTCCCTCACACTTGCTGCACTTTCAATTGGGCTGTGGTGGACGTTTGATCGATCTCGAAGTGGCTTCGGCCTAGGAATAGGAATTGCATTTCTTGCCACATTGGTGACTCAGCTTCTCGTCTACAATGGAGTTTATCAGTAAGTGTTTTCTCTTCAATATGACAATTGTAATGCTAGGATATTAGAGGAGGTATCAGGGGTTGGTGCCAATAAAATATTAAAAACTATTCTGACTCCTTGCCTAGTGTGCATCAATCCCATCAGAATGGATGCGGCTCAGAGGTGTGCAAGATTGCATCTGAGGTGCGGGGATTTGCTTTCGGCTTTGGGACTGTGTGCTTCTACACCTGCCTGCTCTGTTTAAAAAGAAGAAATAGAAGGGGAGAGGTGTTCAAGCAGCATGACCACAAGCAGGACCCCACACTTGGGTTCCCAACCTTGCAGCAGATGCCTGCCCTCTTCCCAGCTTACAAGGTCAAGGGAAAAGCTTAGGGGTGTTTTGGCAGCTGCATTGCCAATGACCTATGAGCAGCTTAGCCATAGCACCTAGGGCCAAAACAACAACCCTATTGCTACCTTTCCAATCTCAAACTTGGAACTAGGGAAGGAAGCCTGGCGTTACATGGAGGTGCAGCATGGGGTCAGGGGCCTGGCTGCCTAATTTTGCTTGACTTCCAGTGCCCAATTCTGACTTTCTGGGCTGGACTTAAGGTGCCGTGCTGATTCCAATGGAAGATCTGCCATCAGCTCTGCTGGGCAAGGGCTGGTGTCCCAGCCACTGCAGCACAGTGCTGCTTATGGGTCTTTTTGCAAAGCTTCAATGCACAGTGAGCAGGCTGTGCCTCGTTTTTCAGAAACGGGACTGTGTCGGATGCATTAGTACAAGCTGTTACTTGTACCAGTGCAGTCTTGAGCCCAGGCGACAGCGTCAGAGTTTCGGAGGTTTCCTGTTTCTTTGTGCATTCTTTCATGCCTAACCATGACTCTTTATCTCTCCCTAGATACACATCTCCTGACTTCCTTTATGTGCGTTCCTGGTTACCCTGTATATTTTTTGCTGGTGGAATAACTATGGGGAACATTGGCAGGCAGCTGGCAATGGTAAGTTAGTCTGTCAGTGCTGGGATTATTTGCAGCATACTTGTGAATAATTCTGTCTACCCTTAGATGTGTGAGCCATCCTTTGCAGGCCACATCCAGATAACTGTGCTTCTGTTCAGGAAGCTCAACATACAGCAGTACTTGTGCTTTCCAACCCTGCCATGTTCTCCACTTAACTACACTCACTATTCAGTTCACAGTGCCTTGTAGGATAAAACCCAGGATGTACCTGATGTTGTTTGTGCATGAGCAGAACTCCCACTTGCATAATGGGACTTCACCTTCTCAGCTACATGCCCTCTAAACCTGCTCTGGATAGCTGGGAGACCTAGAGAAGTTTGGTAGGGGGTGGGAAAGCTGCAGAGCACATGACAGCATCATGAAGTCCTGCTGTGTGAGTGGAAGTCCGTTCAACACAACGTTGGATTCAATCTGCAGATTGTAGGAATAAGGTGGAAAGCTGGGCTCCCAGAAAATTTACCATGCTGAGCTCCACTCATTTGCATCTCTTGTTCTCAATTTTTACAGTGTATCCTTTAGTGTGTGTGTGTGTGTGTGTGTGTGTGTGTGTCATTCTTGGAGACACTTACCACTTAATTTATGTGTTTTTATTTTGTAGTATGAATGCAAGGTTATTGCAGAAAAGTCTCATCAGGACTGAAAAAGAGCAAAGCATACCTTTCCCAAGGAGGATGAATGACAGACCTGGAAGAACTGGCACCAAGGAGTACTTTATAGTGTTTTCAAAACAGTCGTCGCCCTCTCTTGTGTCTTCTTCTGCTCTCACTCGCTGTCCCCCTTGGCCTGTTCCACCTGCAAAAGACACTTTTTACTGCAATCTGTGATTGCTACATCTGTAATTCACTTGAAAATCCCAGCATCTTGGTATCTGATCAGTGTGAAATTCTGCTGGAATGCAACATGCTGGACAAGTTGTTGGTTTTTAGATAGGAGCCTTTACTTTATAAAGTAAGCTAGTCTTGCCATATACCATCCTCTTATTTGCATTATGTTCCTGTGCCAAACCAAACTCTCTCTCTCTCTCTCTCTCTCTCTCTCTCTCTCTCTCTGTTGCATTCCTTTTTTACCTTTCCCTGGACAACTTGGGGGATTAAATGTTATTAGAGTGTTTCTATTTTATTATTCATGCCAGAGTGATGTAAAGGTGGCCTGAAAAGGCATTGAGGACAGTAAATCACAAATATAATTCAAGGCTGTGACTTCACTTGTCCCTACCCCACCCCACCCAAAAAATCAACAGGTTAGTTGTGTGTCAGGTACAGTTAAACACACCCAACTTGTTCTGTGTCATGGGTTGATTGTATATTGGATGTAAAACCAACCTGGACCATTCTGTATACGTACAGGTGAGGCTTCTGCCGCAGTCATGACGTCTGTGCCTGCCATGTTCCTTTGTAAATAGGTGCATTCTGTTGTAGGACTCTTCATGCAACACCAGCAGTAACACTGCTGCGAGTGCAGACATGGCTCAGATGGAGTGATGCTACTGAGACCACCTGAAAATAAGTCATCTGTGGATGATAGATCTGCTGTGGAAATAGGAAAACCTGAACTTCTTTAAATTCAGTGAGATCAGCCTCTGTTTACTTGTTGGAAGTTTCACTCTTGCACTATATGCATAAGTGTGGATTCTCACATGCATTCTGATGATAGAAGACGCAATCTGCTGTGAACTTCTCCTATGCGTGCCCCATTGAAAAGAATGGATGAGTGGATAATTGTCGTATGCTACAGCAAACGTGAAAGGATCCCAGTAGTTCAGGGATTGGGAGCCCCTTACCCTTCAGGTGTTGTTGGACTCCAGCTTCCATCAGCCCCAGCTAGCGTAGACAGTGGTCAGGGATGATGGAATTTGTAGTCCAACAACATCTGGCAGGCCAGAGGTTTCCCATCCCCGCATTAGATTGTGCTTGGTTAAACAGACTCGAAGAAGGCCAGAGTATGATGCAACCTTGACACACTCTTCTTAGAGGTGTCCATTGAGGTTGGGGGTGTGGCAGAAGGGAGAAATGCCTTACTTGTAATGAAGCCCTAAAGTTGTTGATTCTTAGTAAAAAGAATAAGTTGAATCTGTTCTAAACTTGACCAGTTTCATTACTTCTATTGTCGCTCATTTAGCTTTAGAGAGCTGCTTATATTCTTTTAAAGAACATTTTCTTTTTAAAAGAAATATTCTGTAAAAGGGTTTTTTTTTTAGAAAATGTGTTACAGTGACTCGAAAGGGCTTGGTCCAAAGAACCGATGTGTTTAGACAAAATGTTTTATTTTTCTTTAATAATGTATATTGTTGTGTTCATTAAAAAAAAAAAGTGGAACAGACAAACCAAGCAGCGTTTTTAAGGCTTGCATGCTAATATATGAAGAATATGCAATGAAAGCTTGGGACAAAAAGATGTCGGAAGGAAAATGTGCAATCAATAAGACTTAAAGAAAAGAAAAAGCAAATAATATGCAAAATAGCAGTAACTGAGACTTCCCACTTGGTGTTGTAGCTTCCCACTGCAGCACTGAAATGTTTCCAGTGTCGTCCTATGGACTTAACGTTACGGAGAAAGCACTTACGCCTTAGTGTATCTCCTTATATGCCCTTCCCCACACTGAAATGCAAACACTTTGTGTATATCTATATGATTTAATTTTGAAGCATTTTCTTGAATGGTAGAAATGTCACTTGGGATTGTGGAGATACTTTAAAATTAAGTCAACAGAGAGCTTAGTATTCCAGCATAGCTTGCAAGTGCATCCGTGATCCTGCTGATTAATATTTATGGGTCAACCCAACTGTTTAAAGTGTTCGTTAAAGTTGTGGCATGAGTATATTTTGAAGGCTTAAATCTGGCAATTTGGCCCTTGGAAAACAAAAGAGTGACTAAATTAGGCAACAGACCAGTAAGATGTGTGGAGCTTTTTATGTGAACTGTACAAGAGACCTCTTACTTAGAAGTTTCTAGTCATTTGCTTGTATTCTCCAGGGCCTTCCCATAGACAGGCGAGCTTGGAGCATATCAGCAGAGAGCTAGTAGTTATCAAGGAGATCACCTTCTGTTACACATGTATAGTCTAGGGCAACTCTTGTTGGGAGTAGATGGTCTTGGGAGTATAGCAGGTCTCTCATTTCCCACAGTTGTTGCTTTTAAATCTAGTTGACACGAAATGTGAAAAGAATTATGAAGGCACGAAGAGCAATTGTGTGGTACCTCAGTTCACAATATGGCATGCAATAGCTAAAAAAGATGGCTGTTCATGGCTATGTTAATTGAATGTTATGAATACCACTGTATTCTGTAACAGACTCTGCAAACTTTGGAGGACTTAACAGATTTGCCACTTACAAATCTTGCTTGCTTTTGTGTCATGTATTCTTTGCACCCAGCTGTAACGAGGGGGGAAAAAACAGTTTTCATCCACCTTGCTGAAGTTCACATGTGGTGTTAAATCTTACATACATCTTCATATATTTATCTCATCCTTTGTATATTAACATGAACATGGAGAATAAAACCTTTTGTATATCGTAACTACTCACCAGGCATCCTTGTATACCAGGCCTTGCACTGTTTGTCAGTCAGTGATAGATAACACATGGTCAGTTTGAAAATGCCACTTGGAATAAGTTCAGTGACTCTTCCATGTCTTTAAGCCAATGATGCAAAGTCACCCCAAAGTCATTCTTGTGGACTACTGCTTTTCTGTTGATGAGTTGCTTTTCATTTAACAAAACATGCATTGATTTTTATGTACCTACTAGCCAGTACTAGAATTTTGGGAGGAGAGGTTTGTAATGGGAATGCCTTAATTACAGTGGTGGGAAGAAGCAGCTACTGTATAATGTGTAATTATAATATTAGACTGTCTTCAAAATGTTCTGTAGAGGATGACTAAGATATATTTTAGATACAACTTTATAAGCACTATAAACTCTTCACTAGTTGTGAATTGTAAAGGTTGATGATGTTTACTTCAAATTGCTGTTAAAAGCAAAACATGTATTAAATATAATTACAGCCTCGTTGAACCGGTTTCTTTTTCATTTTTCAAGAAGCAATAATTGATAATTATCCTGTTTCAAAGATCAAATTAGAATGCTGGCTGTTGGAGCGCCTTAATGGTTATGGCACACCTGTGGAAATGCTACAAGGAAACAAGCCCGTTAATACACATAAATCAGAAATTGCCATGAGTCAAAATGATTGCAGCACCATTGGCCCTTTTAAGATCCAAACCCTTCCAACTATGGTGAGGGCAGTGGAGGTGAGAGAATTAAGTGAAGAAACAGAACTAACTAACAAAAAAAAGTACATTGAAAAGGGAAGAACGAAGAATATCAGGACAATTTCATCTAATAAAATTACTTTCCTCTTCCAAAGCCTGACGAACAGAGTCATAATTAGTTTGTTATGAGATAATTTAATTTCCAGTTATTTTGTTTATTGTAGTGTTTGTTGAAGGGCTTCAAATAAGTTATATATGGAATAGCAACACAGTCCTTTCAGATGGGTCAGTGTTGTCACTCCCATAAAAGGTAAAGGTAAAGGTACCCCTGCCCGTACGGGCCATCTGTGGTGTGGCTAACGTGTTTTTCTCTCCTTTACAGGAGGAGCTAGAGAGCTACGTTGTGCCGGCCAGTCGTGTCCGACTCTAGGGGTTGCGTGCTCATCTCGCTCTAGAGGCCGTGAGCCGGGTCCGTCCAAAGACACTTCCGGGTCATGTGGCCAGCGTGACGAAGCTGCAGCTGGCGAGCCAGCACCAGCGCAGCACACGGAAACGCCGTTTACCTTCCCGCTATAAAGCGGTACCTATTTATCTACTTGCACTTAAGGGTGCTTTCGAACTGCTAGGTGGGCAGGAGCTGGGACCGAATGACGGGAGCTCACCCCGCCGCGGGGATTCGAACCGCCGACCATGCGATCAGCAAGTCCTAGGCACTGAGGTTTTACCCACAGCGCCACCCGCGTCCTTGTCACTCCCATGTTGCAGTTCAAATGTGAGGGTGAAGCCTGAGGAGGAAGGCTGGCTCATGAAGTCATGGCTGAGGCAACCTTGAATCGACAGCAGTTCTAGTTTGGTGTGCCTGTACTACAACTCCCATCTTTCCTGACCATTAGCCATGCTGGCTGGTTGAGGCTGATGGGAGCTGGAGTTCCAGCAACATCTGTAGGGCTACAAGTTAGCAGCCCCTGAACTAGAGGCTTATGGGGCCACAGGTCCCACTTTCAGCCATTATGCTATACCAGTGTTGTCTTTCTTCAGCAACTATCCATGAAGTTCTTCATGTAGTTTAAAACAGCTTTGTTGGAAATATGCTGAGACATCACATTTAGTACGGCAACCACTGCAATTGTTTTCGTTTTTTAAAGGTTCTGAGCAATTACTGTGCTAGCAAAGTAGCTAGATAAAAGGATTTGGGTCAGGTTGAATTGTACAAACTTAACATTTTTGTCCTCTTAAACCTCGAGGAAGTTTGTTCTCTCTGTGGTTTGTATGAACATTTTTTTATGTAGTGGTACCAAGTCATTCGCAACATATGTGATTGCAGATCCATCTAGTAAGTATGGGACTGCAGAGCGTGGCGTCTGTTGTCTTACGGCATTTCCCTATGGGTGGATTTTTGCACAACATCTCACTAGAAATGAATTCTCCCTGAGCACTGGCTTTTTTCAAGGCAGGCAAGTTGGATGTGATTTCAGTCAACAGCCAAAGATTTTTGACTCTTCTCACAAGCCCTGCTTCAATCTAGCATTTTCACATAAGGTGGTTTGGATGAAGACTGTAGCTTATATATAGTTTTTTAAAGCTCACATCTCTACCACTGCTTCTCCTACGTGAAAAACCTTGGGTGACATGTGCTACACTAAAAGAATATTCCTAACCTTACCTGTGAAAATGTCCTTAGCCTTTTGACTCCCTTGAAGTACCATAGCTAGAAAGGGGACTATGGTAGAATGGTGTCATGGGAATAGGTCCATTTAAGAATCCAAAAGAATTAAATAGATAGTGAATGGCATATTGCCATCTTTAAAATGTATTCTTCTCGGCAGTATATCCTGGTGACAGGGATACCTAATGCTGCCATAAAGTCAGTGTATTCTCAGGGGTAGTAGCTGTTCATGGTAAAAAGTTTTCCTCATGAAACTTCTGCAGAGTCTGAGACAGTGTGCAATAAATTATGGCGAAGGAAGACAAAACCCTCTCGGGATACAAGGAACGGGCAAGTATCTTTGGGCAAAGAAATATTTCTTTTGTGTTACTTAGAGGCACATTCTGTGGTGTTTCTCACGCTGCTATAGAGGGAAAAAATCCTAAGGACAGTTTCCTTTAAGGCTATACTTCTACAAATGTCTGAAACGGAAGAGAAGATGAACAGAGCAAGTACATAAATAAGCACAAAGTGAGTTGGCCGGTCAGCTAATTGACTCTGGTGCCTTTTTACCCAAAGGCACAGAGAGTAAGAAATTAAAACATTCCAACGCAGCATAAAATAACAAAGATGCTAATTACAGGTCATAGCTTGTTGTTCACATTCTGGAATTATAAAGGTGTGTAGACCAAATTGCACAAGTTGGGCAATTCCATAATTCATCTTAATTTTTTATCCTCATTAAAAGTCAGAGGCTGAGGTTAGAGGCAGACCCTTTCCTGCTTCAGCATTGCTCATTTCTTTTTCTCCTTGACTGGAAAAGCAGGTTGATTGAGATGGGGTGCTGTGTAGATAAATTATGTGTGAAAGAATTAAGCATCCCTCTCTCTTGCTGATCCTCTCCCCCAGTGTGCCAAAATCTATCCTCCAATTTCTGAAAAGTTTTATTCCTCTGGGGTGGAGGGGGAATGTCCATTTTTTCTGCCTCAATTACCTGGGCATTTCAGAAATTCTTTAGAATTTAAGTCAATGTGAGATATTGAGTTTACTGTACCTTATAGTTATGAGTGTGTGTTTCTTTCTTATAAGTGTTCCTCCAGCATTCTGCCATTTCTTTGGCTGCCAAAGCTTCCTGGTCTGAAAAAGAGTCATGGGAGGTGTTGCCTTATAACAGGGGTCAGCAAACTTTTTCAGCAGAGGACCACTGTCCTTCAGAGTTTGTAGGGGGCCGGACTATATTTTTTTTTGGGGGGGGGGGTGAACGAATTCCTACGCCCCACAAATAACCCAGAGAACCAATTTAAATAAAAGGGCACATTCTACTTATGTAAAAACATGCTGATTCTCAGACCGTTCACAGGACGGATTGAGAAGGCGATTGGGCCGGATCCGGCCCTCGTGCCTCAGTTTGCCTACCCATGCCTTGAAGCACAGACACTTGAGAAAGCTGACCACTGGCGAAATGATCTGTAGAATAAGGTTAAAGGAAACTCACAAACATCTCTTGGCCAACTGAAAAGCAAGGCAAGTACAAAAGTAAGTAAGTAAGTTTGGCTTTTACTCACTTAGTTTTATCTCAGTTTTAATGTTTGTAAATCACATTGAACTACTATTTGCAGGAAAGGGACTGATACATTCAGAAAATAATAAACAACCTCCCAAAGTTCTACTACATCCAAGTGAAGGGAAATCATGCAGGTTTGGTTCCCTATTTGACAAACTTTAAAGAAGAGTTTTCAAAGCCATTTTTGTCACAATGCCAAGCCCAGTAACTCTTGCTATTTCAGCTACAGTGGTACCTCGGGTTACAGACACTTCAGGTTACAGATGCTTCAGGTTATAGACGCTTCAGGTTACAGACTCCGCTAACCCAGAAATAGTACCTCAGGTTAAGAACTTTGCTTCAGGATGAGAACAGAAATCATGTGGCAGCGGCACGGCGGCAGTGGAAGGCCCCATTAGCTAAAGTGGTACCTCAGGTTAAGAACAGTTACAGGTTAAGAACGGACCTCCAGAATGAATTAAGGTCTTAACCCGAGTTACCACTGTACTATTAAATAGTGGCTTCTGCCATGTAGGTAATGCTCATTTGAAAACAAGCTTGTATGTACCTTTTCAACTCATACATTCAGGGGGGAAATCCCAGGATTTACAAGATTTTCCCCTTTGTTCATCCAGTACAATTAAAGAATGTGTTTATTATTATTTTTATTCATTATATTAGTCATTATATATTATATTATATTATATTATATTATATTATATTATATTATATTATATTATATTATATTATATTATATTATATTATATTATATTATATTATATTATATTATATTAATTTCTAAATTCTATTTGGGAAAATAAGCAGTTTTACTTCAGCATGGGAGTGCAATAACTTTATAGACTTTGCAATATCTGTAAAAAGAAAAAAACTTTGATTTGCAACTAATATATTCAGGGTCAAGCAAGATGATAAGAGAAATGTATGCTTGCATTTCATGTCTTTTAAGAAGAAATTGAATGGGTGGGAAACTACCTTTCAGGACTGGGGCTTTGGTGCCAGAGAAGAAGCATCGCACCTTCCTCCCTACACAGTGATCCTGATTTAAAAAGCAACCTCCCCCCTTGGCCTGGTGCAGTTTGTGCTGGAACAGAAGTTGCCGCAGGTAGGTTAGAAAGTTGCAAAGCTATAAGTAGTCTGATACCGGAGAACCAGCTATTGGAAACGCTTCACCTGTTTGATTTCTGCAGGCACAGTTGCTGATCAAGTTGCAGGTTAGGAACCGAGCCAGTTAAGAAGTTGGCAACAATAAAAAAAGAAAAGAAATTAAAGGCACAGAAGACAAAGGATCTCTGAGATGGTAGATTTCTGCAGCTTCTTTCTGGGGTTAGCAAGGGCCCCATAGCAACCTTTTGCAAAATGTAATGTAGTTAGACAGGGACATGCACAAATTGCAGTAGATAATTGACAGCTGAATTATCAAGGAAATGGATGCCATTTTTTAAGACGCTGGGGGTTAAGGGCTGCTTTGAACCTTAATAAGCCTTGATTGATTTTGTAAATAAGAATTGCAGTTACTCTGTTTACAGCGAAGGAGCCGTTTTATTGCCGCAGTATCAAAGACTACCCTGCTCTGAGCAGCGATATTGAGAGCGAAGCGCCATCTGTCCTGGAGAATTTCTTCCCTTTATGAACAGGACTTTCTCATGGAAATTAATTGAATAGCAGGAACTGTGCTTATTGTGTTTCACCGCTTTCTTCTGCAAAAAAGGATCTGTTATCTTACAACATGGTCCCTGTCATATCATACCCAAATTCACTCACCATCAATTCTGGTTCCGGTTCACACACACACATTCTTACCGCCTTATATGAATTTTGTACAGAACGAGAAACGTGGAAAGCAAAACATCCACAATTTACTCATATGTGGAATTATTGCAAAGAAACCATCTGCTGCCTTCTTCATTTGTTTTCTGGAGAAGGGGAAGTCAATGAGCCAGATCCACCTACTTCCATTCAGAGCTTCGGGAGGGGGTGGAGGGGGGGCGTTACAATGGACCATCTCTCTCTCTCTCTCTCTCTCTCTCTCTCTCTCTCTCTCTCTCTCACTGGGTGTGGCCACAAAGGAGCTTCCTACAATACAGGGCCAGCTGAAATTGTGTGCAATGTGGTGCTGTGGTGCTGTGCTTTCCTCTGCCTGTGCAGATGGTATGAGTTGTACCTAAGGCAGGTACAGCCTTAGGTCCCGAGGTCCAGCCATTTTGCTGGAGGTTTCTCATCCCTCTCCTGGGGCAAACATGCAGAGACCAGGCAGGGCTACATATCATAGGAAATGGTTAGGCTTAGGACAAAATAAGCAGGGTTGTCCAGGGATGTAAAGCAGAGGCACAACTGCACCATGAGACCAGATAAGCAAGAGATGGAAAGAAGATAAAAGTCTCTACCAGAGAAGAATGGCAGATTGAACTGTTGTACCATGCCGAAATGGCAAAATTGACCAGGAAGCTCAGAAACCAAGAAGACCGAAACTTCAACAAGGAATGGGGATTTTTTAAAATAATTTATCTTGAGGACCACTGTAAGCAGATGAAAACATTAGCAGGATTGCAATAACACTTGTAATGTAACGAGTACTATGGAGATAATGGAGTTGTTGTTTTTTAAAAAAACGGATTACTGAAAAAGATGCAGTAGAAAAGGTTTAACAACAGAACCCATGGAGGGGAAGGTGGGAAGTGCAGAGATTCAGAGGAATCTTTTAATTACGGATGTGTGTTGTAGTATGATTATAATTGTATATTTGTAAAACCACATAAAAAACATTTCCACGACACACACACACACACACACACACGGGGGGGGGGGGAGAGAATAGATAAACAGGGAAGCCGTTGCTAAGATTGCTAAGGTTTGGGTTTTTGGATTTTTCTTTCTTTCAACAACTGGCTAAATTGGTAGATATCAATGTTAATCCTTATCCAAGATATACCTTCAAGTGGGCTTGGGATGCTACATGTTCAGGAACCCCATTCCTGCATATAGAAAACCCAACGAGAGAAATGCAACCCAGTGGGAGTTATGCTTTTCCAAATGTTGCGTCAGCGCAAACATTTCTGCTTGTCCTATGGAACAATCTCCCCTCTTGCCTCCCCCGCCCTTGTGCACTGGTCTGGGGACTCTTATGAAACCCCTACCCACCCCATCCCAGATCACAGCCAAATTCCATCAGCATGGGGTAAGCACGAAGGTGCGGGGAGAGCCCCATTGTGGTAGTAGAAGTCTACCATGTGGATTCCACTGGGGGAACCCCTTGGTCGAATTTGGCCCAGATGGCGTTTTGCTCCTCCCATAAGTCATAACCATTTCCCCTGCCCTCCTGGACTGTCTTAATATCCATTCTGTATGCTTAATTAATTAATTCAGATGGAAATTCCCAGGTGTAAAAAAAAAGGCTATTTATGTATGCTACTACTGTGGCCTGTGTTTTGTTAGCCCAAAAATGGAAAACGAGTGAGGTCCCAATTAAAGAAGAATGGCAACTTAATCTGATGGACTATGCGCAGCTTTCAAACTTAACTTATGGAATAAGAGAACAAGAATATTATATGTTTAAAGAAGGTTGGAAAATGTGTAATGAATATATGGGTGAAAATTGTGTACATTTGAAAACGTTGGCAGCATTAAGATAAATTCAACAGTGTGAATAAGTTTTGATGGATGTAAAAATGGAATACTAAATTGCTTAGTTGATGTAAAATATGCAGGGATCAATGGCATGCAAATTGAACCATGAAGGAGGAGAAGGAAAGTCAGTATTTTAAGGTTGTTCAAATGAATATTCTAAAATGTAAAATATGAAAACTTAATTAAAAATATACAAAAAAAAACCCCAGCAAGAAAAAGACCCCCAAAATCAATCAATCAAATTAATATACACCCTTCACTTGAGGCTCATGGGGCAGTTTATGCGTTTAAAGCACTCTTATCCAACTCTCAACAGTCTCATGCCTTCCTCTAAAATCCTGGGAACTGTAGTTTGTTCAGAGTGCTAGGAATCATAGCTCTGTGAGGAGTAAGCTACAGTTCCCTGGATTCTCTGAGGGGGAAGGTATGGTTGTTAAAGTGGCATTAAATGCCCTTTAAGTGTAGGAGGTGGTGGATGTGACCTGGCTGTCGTCATTTCCATGCAAGGGCAAAGGGAGTTGGTACCCAGTCTCACGCTGGACCCTTCTGTGTGTAGGCATTCATTGACGAAGCTACTGGCTGGAATCGCTTTCCAATGGCCCCTTGAGTTTGCTATCTGAGAAATGCTGTTTCCCCGAGAGATTAACAAATGTACTATTTACAAGCGGAAGTACAATAAAAAAGAGTTAGCGGGGAAGGATACAATTTGATGCCCTGCATTAGGGAACCAACAAAAGCTGGTAGGAGATCTTTCAAAACTGAGCACATTAGTTGAAGGCCTATTCAAATAAATATCAAAACCCAAGCGAATGCCACATCTGGTTCCTTTCAGCTCCCCACACTCTCGTTCTTTCCAGCTGTTAACACCTGCTGTTCTGTCAGATATAATAATGAAACTTCAGGTGCTTTATAATAACATGAAAGCATTATTAATTTTTCATATGCAAAG